TGCCTTTACGATATTTTAGCTACTCAGTTTTTTATTGAAGGTAAATAAGATAGATTGAAAATATTGAAGATGGATTGCAGGTGCTTACAGTGGTAGATATTTAAAAAGAAAAGGTCATCCAGCCAGCATTATCTTCATTAATAATACAGGGCAAGCCAAAAGTCACAAAGGGTTTCAATGCTTTACAACTCCTTTATTTTTTGTTTTTAATTTACAATTCTTTGTCATCGTGTATATAGGAAATAATATCACATTAAATTAATTGTAAAATCTTTTAATTTTTTTCAAAAAGTTGTTAAAACATCACATGCCTTAATCACTCTTGGTCCATCCTGTAGATGGCTTCTTCTTTTTATTCCATGACTTTATGTTTGTGATTCTGTGTGTGTGTGTGTGTGTGTGTGTATATAATCTTACTTAATTATTGTGTTGGTTCATTATAACAAGTGTGTTTTATGAAGAGTCTTCGTATTAGAGATTCAAGTGTTTCTATAGCTTTTGTACTATTATGTTTAAATGTGTTATCTGCCGTGTAGAATTTGTTTTTATAATAATCTTTAAATCATTATTACTAAATTTAATATAGAAAAGCACTATTGAGGCAAGACATATATTCACTTTATTCTGATAAACCTGACTTCCATGTTACATGAAACCCTAGGAAAACGTCAGAAGCCAAGTGAGATGTATGTGTAATGTATATATTATCATATTTCTATGTTTAAACCTATAAAGTTCAACAGATTTTAATTTATTTTAACAGATCCCTTGCCCGTTTCTTTCATTATGCCTTATTTCTTTGCAAATATTTGGTTGTGAATTTTGAACATATACACAAAAAGACTTTGTAAGAATAAACATCACACTTTTGGCCCAAGTCTGAATCCAAGAAGGCTACTTAGCTTGATTTGAGTCATGAGGCAGAACTGTGTACCATGCTGTTATGAACCTAAATGTATATTTTGTTGATAGATAAGGCATTTGCTTTTGTCCCTCTTCTTAAGGTCAAGCTACATATTATGGCCAAGATCCATGACTGGATCTCATAACAGCTTTTCTAAGATTTACAGACAACTGCAAGACTTCTGAATTTGATCATGAAGCTGGTTGGGAGGGGATGAGTGTGTGATTCGTGTCTTTCCCATTGATTTAGTTGTTTTTTATATACTTGATTAGAAGAGAGGTGAACTGGGAAAAAACAATATTCATACATATACTCATGGGGTCTGAACCAGTATGAACCCCAGGAAGGCATTTTGAGGAGTTACAGAGAGCAGCTCAATGAAAACATTGGCTCTGTGTGCAGCAGTTGACAAATTCTATGCTGGGAATTATGGGACTGAAAATGAAACCACCAGGATTCAAAAATCCCCACTCAGCCAGGAAACCCAATGGGTGACTCTGAAGAAGGCAATGGCAACCGTCTAATGAAAACATTTTACCAAGAAAACCCCATGATAGGTTCCACTATCAATCAAAAACGACCTGAAGGCAAACAGCAAAGATTAGAGAGAGTGCAAAAACTGCAACAGGAAATTATCTGTTGGCTGTAGGACATCCAGTATCAGTAGGGATTTCAGCATTACAAGCTTTTTAGTTTAGAAATAAGCTAAGTAGAAAAGAACATGTTAATGGCTTACTTAAATATGTCATACTGCCAAATCTTTGTATTTCCCAACAAAACTGAATGGCAAGAGATTCGGGACAGAATAAATAACTTTATCACAAAATAAAAGCAGTCCCCAAGTTATGAACAAGATAGTTCTTTGGGTTTCTTCTTAAGTTGAATTTGTATGTAAGTCAGACTGGTACATTTTTAAAGTGTAAATCCCTATGCTATGCTAGTGTAGCATATCATAGCACAGGGAAAGGTTAACACCCCTGTGATGTTTGTTTTGCTGTCTCTGCCCCTGTTTAGGAGATTTCACCTCACTTTCTGTCTCTGTGATAATTGGATTTTTAAAAATGTAGCTTGTTTTGGAAACAAAGATTGGTGAGAAAGCTTCAGTGGAGACACCTTTTCCCCATGCAGAACTTAATTTCCCTTCCAAGGGATAGATTTCTCTCACTTCCTGTTGTCTCGACCCCATTCCTAACTGTCAATCATTTGTAAGTTGGATGTTTGTAATTCGGGGACTGCCTGTACATACTCGGTCTGTGGAATTTGCCTCCACAAAATATGATGAGGTATTTGGCTTGAAAAGGCAATTAGACATGTACCCCTTTTTGACTTCACATAATAATCTGTTTTTCCTCTCTGAACATTAGGACTTGATAAATCTTTGCATATTCCAACAGGGATTGCTTTATGTAAAACTGGTAAGAAGTCACACAAAACTGAAGATACAAAGAGCCAATGTAGAGTTGTAGACCTGAATTGGGCCTGGGTTCAAAACTCCATCAAGAAGGTTAGGGTTAGGGTAAGGGTTAGGATGAAGTGAAAATTCAAATGAATTCTTTACTGTTTGCCAAGTAGGAAAAAAATTATCTGCCTGCCCTTGGTAATGATGTTTCTGAGTTTTTCAAATGTACAGGATTCACATCTTTTTGAAAGACTATTTACAGCTAGGTCTTTATTCTGCACAAAATTTACACATGGTTATTTTGCACAGAAAATGATCAAATCTGCACAGAAATTTTATTTTATATGTCAAAATGGTATTTTTTTCATAGTTATAATCTGCTTAGAAAATGGCATTTCTTAAACAGTAGATTTTGTTGGGTTTTTTTTTTTTAATCAGCCATGTTCAATTTGTACCCAGAAGATAGCTCCAACTACAATATTTTTTGTTCAGAAAATAATACATCTGTGCAGTTAATGCTGTTTCCATTCAAAACAGCCATGTAGGCATTTTGGGAAAATTCTTGGTAGGTTAGGTTTTTTTCAGCATGGTTTCTTGACGTTCAAAGAACACATCTGTCAGTCGTTTTTCGCATATTTTTAAAGATTATTTTCATCACTACAGTGCAGTGGGCATTTTGATGAATACGTACAGATACTTTGAGAACTTTGCTTTTTTTGGGCTTTGTTTCAGATCTTCATTCATCCTCTAGGTTCTTGCTGTGGCCTAACTAAATAGATCATTACACCTTTATTATATAGGCTGTTCTTATAATCCCAGGAGCTGATCCCAGATTATCTGCTTTGAATTGGATTATGTGAGTTTTCACTGCCAGATAATCTGGGATAAGAAGATAATCTAGGATTATATCTTGGGATATAGGGCAGTATAGAAGGGGCCATAGTTTGGTAAACCGTGGCTTAATGTTTCAGGCACAAGCTACAGTCTGGCCAAACTCTCACACACACCCTCAACTGCCACAGCTGCAAAAAGAGACCAGAAGCTACTATTACTTGTTTTAGTTCAATCCTTGTTGAATTGTAACAAGCCACCTTTGTCAATTCAGGTTTGAAGTTAGCATATTTTAGCAAACCATGGTTAAGACTAGACACATACTTAAAGATATATTCCACTCCCAATATCCTGGTAATTCTGTTTAACAAAATGGAAATGAGTTTTCAAACATTTTGCAGTTGTGCTGAAAAGGGAACATGCAGGGGAAGGGGAACATGAGAGCCTGAGTATGTTTTTCTAATATCAAGCCATGAAACCTATATGAGGATCCTTTCTATCAGTCTAATCCTGCCTCAAAGGATGGATCCAAGATGTATTGTATAGTGAACTGCTTCTTAAACTGTGGGGCATGGCCCTAAATGAGGTCCCCTTAACTCAATGTTGGGGCCACGAAAAAAAATGGGCAACAGTAAAAGACCACCCATTTAAACCAATCTGTTAGCAACAGCATGCAATGTTTACGTTGGTCTCTGTAGAAAATTCTTCAGCTGTACTCCACAAAAAGGAAAATCATCATCATCATCATCATCACTTTATTTCTTAATTAGTCGTTCTCCACCAAGGTGCTCCGAGCGACTTATAATTTAAAACAGTTTATACACAATATAAAACATTCAATATAAAAACATTCAACATAAAACATTCAACATAAAAACATTCAGCAGTGACTATGGCAACATTTGATCTGGTTACTTAAATGCACAACCAAATCAGAGTGTTAAGCAAGGTTTGCATATGCTGATTTATCAGCAAATGTTTGGTTTTTATGTCTATACCTGTGTATACCATTGGTCACTTAAAATTTTCTCAGGCAGAAAGGAGTCGTGAATGGAGATAGTTTAAGAAGCCCTGGTATAGAGCACATATATACCATCAATTGTTAGCCATCCTAGGAGTATTCTACTTAAAATTACCGGCTAAACTTTAGTTGATCTAAATTGATGGATGGTGTATACATCTTTTAAATTAATAACCATTTGCACTGCTTGAAACTCCCTGAAAGAAAGATGATTAAATGGCAATAAATAAATATTAATTAAAATGGAGGACTAAATAGCAACACTGCATTTTAAATTTGAGAATCTTGCGTCAAATAATAATTTATACTTTGTGTGCTTGAGGTAGAACAAAATTTGCATACTGACAATATCTATGTACATTAAAGCCATCATTAGCCAGATAACATCTAGGCAAATAAAAGTCTATCCAAATCTGTTTGTATTATCGAAATATATTACTCTGTCACTTGGAGTTAAAGTTTTTATTATTGGAAACATCTAGTGATTTATACAATTCAATTAATTATTTCAGAAAGTAGGGCTCGTAATATGGCACTGTCTGCTATAACTTTTGTTCTCTTTCTAGTGCATACTTTGTGTAAACTGAGTGGCAAATATCTTTTCTGTTCTTTGGCTTGAAGTTACATGCAAACTTTGAATAATCTTTCTGTTTGAAGAGCGTTTTTTTTTAAGCTTTGCATATTGAACAGAATGTGTATATCTGTTTCCTGGGGAGCTTTGGCTTGTACTTTACGTCATATGCGGCTTCAGCCTTTTTTTTCCCTCCCATTTTTTCATACTTTTCTGTTCTTTCTTTTACTCTTCTCTTTTTTTTCTCTCTCCCCTTTCTGCTGTCTGGATGCAGCCAAACGCAAAGCATGGAAACTAAATCGTGTTGGTAGCCTGCGAAATATATACAGCAGCAGCAGCACCAACACTGAAGGTAACAACATTAAAAATCAACGTGTTGTAAAGTAACTGCTTCTTCTCCAAGCTGTATCTTTGTTGCCTCTCCCCCATCCCTAAATAAAATAAAATAAAATTTGCCCAAAGCATGCGTGCTTTCATGTTGTGTTTGCAGATTGTTCCTCTGGTCTTTCCATCTTTCTGTTTGTGTGTTTTATTTTGCCATTCATGTTCCTTTCAGTTTACTTAAATTTTGACCTTTCCCTCTAGTCGTGGAGTAGTGATGTTTAAATTACTTCAAGAACCCATTTCCTTGATGTTTTTTTTTATTCTCCCTTTATACATGTGGGCACTCAGTGTAATATTTCCTAGGTTATTACAGTTTTTTAAAGTGTTGGTATCAGGTGTAATGATCTGTAGCCAAATACAATAGTGTGCTGTGACATTTAAGTAACAGTCTTAATTTGTTTTGTGAAAGCATTCTCCATAATGTTTTCTGCGGCTCTAATCCGAAAGCGAGGCACAGCCAAACTATTTGCATGTGCGACTCTTGCTTGTAAATTCTGTATATTGTTGTATTTCTAAAGGTCATCTGGTGCCAAAGTTCACAAATTGACTTGCATTGCTGTTTTCAGGAAGACAGCCATCATGGCGTTTGTATAATAGCAGATTGAATTTCTTTCCTTCACCTTCATTTGAACAATGCAATTATAAACTACCTTCTTTCTTTTTTAAAAACAACTTTTTTTTACTAATGTCAAAGATCAAAATTACTTGGAAATCGAGAAAGGAGGGGAAAATATCTTCAGCCCGCATCTCAGGGAGCATGTGTATGGGGATGGCATACAGGATTCTGGATGCAAAATAGGTCACAACTCAGTAATCTTCTGGTAATGGGGGGATTTTTTTCACTTAAGTACAAACCAAATGGGTCAAGTAATCACAAGCACATGCCCTTACACTAATTGACTTATTTTGGAATTATTATAACTATAATATTTTTCTTAATGTCACCATTTTCTGGGCTATTGGTTTTAGTGATTGAGAAGAGACAGCATTAAATCTCTTGTAAATTTTAAATTGCATGCTATTTCTGTAAACAAGTCCCTGTGTTCACATCCTGGTCATTAACCTTTGGTGATTTATATCACCGTCTCCTTTTTGCACAATTACTACTGTATCTCAGGCAGCTGCCTTCCTGACATCAGCAGATAAAGTGGATCTGGGACACAAAAGTGCTTTTTTACAGCCACTTGTTAAGGGGCAATTTCTTCTATAATCTTGGTTTATTTCCCATTGTCAAGTTTAAATGGTCACCTTTAAAATAACAAAGCTATTATTTTTGTGACCATTTTGGTTACCTTCCATGGGACTTTTATGGGGTGAGGGTGGGCTGGAAATGGATTAGACATAAATATCAACAGCCGAGGCTTAATAATAATAAGACTTTTTTGTTCTTGGAAAAAGAACCACAAATGTTCGTTGTTTGTATTTTTCGTCTCTGCAAAAGAATAATTCTTCTTGCATTTATATTTATATGATTCTCATAGCCTGAGGTTTAACCCTTTCTTTGCTGGAAGAAAGGGTTATGAACAACAGGCTGTAGCTATTTGCTGCCCACCTTCAGGCTGTAGCATTTGCTACCCACCTTCGATGGTGCTGCCCTATCTCCTTTGCCTACCGTTAAGAGCTTGGGTGTTGTTTTGGATTCGCAGCTGACAATGGAAGCTCAGGTCACTGCTGCCAGCAAATAAGCCTTTTTCCATCTACGACAAGTGAGGCAATTGGCACCCTACCTATCTGATGAGGCTCTGACAGCAGTCATCCATGCCATGGTCACGTCTAGGCTGGACTATTGCAACGCCCTGTATGTTGGCCTTCTGATGTCTACAACCCGAAAGCTCCGTATTGTTCAGAATGTGGCAGCCAGGTTACTCACAAGAACACCCATGAAATGCCATATAACTCCAGTGCTGCGGCATTTGCATTGGCTTCCAACTGATTACCGTGGTCTATGTTTGGTTGTTCTGTTTTGTTTGTTTGTTCTGTCAAAAATGTAATACAACTGTTCAGTTGCCCGACACGATAAATAAAATACCGTAGTCTACATAAGATGCTACTTCTGACCTTTAAAATTCTTTACGGCCAGGGTCCATCGTACCTTAGGGACCGCCTCTCCTTCTCCCATCATCAGAGGTCGCAACAACCATCCCAACGTGACCTACTTTATATACCGGGTCCTAGAGAAGTGCACTTGGAAAGTACCAGACGCAGAGCTTTTTCCATTTCTGTCCCTGCCTTATGGAATTCCTTGCCGCATCAACTATAGTTTCATGAGCAACCTCAAAGAAATTCCACATAGTTTGCATTGCCATAATCCAGTCATGGATTTACTAATTCATTTATCATAGTGGCACTATGCATAGCAATTGAAGTTGGTAATATTTACCACAAAGTTTATTTATTTACTATATTTATTTCCCACCCTTCTCACCCTGAAGGGAGCTCCATCATAGGGATTCCAAAAACGTTATCAAAGTATTGAAAATGTGTATATCATTCCCTGATGAGAAAAACCCAGGGCTAATGAGAATATTCACAATTCAAATGTTATTCTGCAGAAAAGTCACCAAGAATTATAGAATTGAAAGAGTCCTCATGGGCCATCCAGTCCAACCTTCCTGCCAGGAAGCAGGAAAATTGCATTCAAAGCACTCCGACAGATGGCCATCCAGCCTCTGTTTCAAAACCTCCAAAAAAAGGAGCCTCCACACTCTGGGGCAGAGAGTTCCACTGTTGAACAGCTCTCACAGTCAGGAATTTCTTCCTCATGTTCAGGTGGAATTTCCTTTCCTGTAGTTTGAAGCCATTGTTCCAAGTCTAGTCTCCAGAGCAGCAGAAAACAAGCTTGCTCCCTCCTCCCTATTACTGGCCCTCACATACATGGCCATCATGTGGTTGTTTCCCCCTGAAAACAGCATATTGTGCGCAGGAAACAACATTTCTGTGCAGAAAATATTATTATCATTACTACTATGTTTTTTTCTACAAAAAGATGTCGTTTACTATGAAAAAAGGTGTTTCATGCACACACAGAAATGCTGTTATTGGGGATTTGTTCTGTGTAAAATTCACATATTTGCATGCTTCTGCACAAGAAAATACTATTCATGCATAAGCATATTTCATGTATAAAAAAGACAGAAACCTCCATGTACAAATATTGTGCAGCAGCCCTAAACTGCAAATAAACTTCAAAAACAGTTTTTTAAAAAGACTTTCTTGTATTAAGAGAGCATTGACCACATTATTGATTGTTTCTTTTGAGAAGAACCTCATGGCGTTGCAGAATGACATCCCTAAGGAATTGTGATGGAGCTAGGAGTGTCTCTGTGCTATCCCCCTTATTTACTCAGGGAAGAACTAAGTGTGGTACTATCTTAAACAGAAATCTTGAAATCCTGCACCTTGATCACTCACCCATAAACAGACTGCGCTCTGGCACCACGAGATGCAGAGCCAACCTCAAGAAATGGGGCTACAAAGTGGAATCCACAACATGCGAGTGTGGAGAAGAGCAAACCACATACCACCTTCTGCAATGCAACCTGAGGCCTGCCATATGCACAATGGAGGACCTTCTTGCAGCAGCACAAGAGGCACTCCAAGTGGCCAGCTACTGGTCAAAGGACATTTAATTAACTGCCAAGCTTGCAAACTCTGTTTTGTCTGTTTGTTAAAAAATTGTTAAAAATGTAATACAATTGTCTGGTTGCTACTGACACGATATAAAAAAAATCACTCACCCATAGACTCTGTTTTGCTAGGATTTATATGGGCCCTCATCTCACCCATTGAGCCCCAACCCTAGATGGGGGCCCCTTTCATCAGTCTTGGGGTCACAAGAAATTACCAACAACAGAAGGTTTCCGAATGCCACAAATGTGTTAGCAACAATGTGCAGGATTTACAGTGGACTCTGCACAAAATGATTCAGCTGTACTCCACAAAAGGAAGATCAGCCTACTTAGCAAGCCATGCAAATTGATTTTATACCATTTAATATATGTATATACATGGGGTCATGTTAAAATTTTCAGACAGAAATGGATAACAAATAGAAAAATTTTAAGAAGCCCCGATTCAACCTAACGTTGTATCTAGCCAGTAACCAAGAATAGGCACATGTTATGCTGATTCAAATGGAACAGAGAAATAGGGTTGATAACAATGTGGCCCCAATGACTCCACATTGATTTTGATTATTAAGTAGTTCTACAATGAACTATCAAAATGTTGATTTTCAGTCATCCTGTGCTCCTCCCTGGAACCAGTTCCTCAAATAGGAACAAAATAGTTGTGAAATGGCACCCCCAAGTCAGACCAGTAGCTACTGCAAGATCAAGGAAGAACAAAGGGGTTGCATTCCCCTATCTCTCCCACAGACAGACAGTTGTTGTTCATTCGTTCAGTCGTCTCCGACTCTTCGTGACCTCATGGACCAGCCCACGCCAGAGCTCCCTGTCGGCCGTTACCACCCCCAGCTCCCTCAAGGTCAGTCCAGTCACTTCAAGGATGCCATCCATCCATCTTGCCCTTGGTCGTCCCCTCTTCCTTTTGCCTTCCACTTTCCCCAGCATAATTGTCTTCTCTAGGCTTTGCTGTCTCCTCATGATGTGGCCAAAGTACTTCAACTTTGTCTCTAGTATCCTTCCCTCCAGTGAGCAGTCGGGCTTTATTTCCTGGAGGATGGACTGGTTGGATCTTCTCGCAGTCCAAGGCACTCTCAGAACTTTCCTCCAACACCACATCTCAAAAGCATCGATCTTCCTTCGCTCAGCCTTCCCTAAGGTCCAGCTCTCACATCCGTAGGTGACTACAGGGAATACCATGGCTTTGACTAGGCGGATCTTTGTTGCCAGTCTGATGTCTCTACTCTTAACTATTTTATCGAGATTGGACATTGCTCTCCTCCCAAGAAGTAAGCGTCTTCTGATTTCCTGGCTACAGTCTGCATCTGCAGTAATCTTTGCACCT